GCGTTAAATATCGCATGCGATTTATCGTGCAGCCCTAGTTTTATCTTTGGTGTATTTTTTACAGTGGTAAAAACAGTACTATTGTGAAATATGTTTAAATGTTTTAAAATAATGAAACCGTTGTGCTGCTTTTGTGGAAACCTTGATTGTTTTCATTTATTTATTTATTTATTTTTCAGGATTCTTTTAACAACAAAGATTGAAAAGAACAACATTTATTTGAGATCGAAATCTTTTGTAACATTCCAAATGTCTTTACTGTCACTTTTGATCACTTTTAATGCATCCTTTTTTAATAAAAATTAATTTCTTTCAAAAATGGTCTTACTGGTGATGCCAGAGATTTGAATGTTACTGTATGTGTATATACCAAATTTTAACCATATTTACCATATAACCATATTTGCTCACAATTTACTACAAATAATACCACAGTAATTTGTTCATTTCTCATCCAAAATACTTTTTTAAAGTTTTCTTTTGTAAAATCACCAAACCCAGTGTGCATTTGAGGTGTCTAATTGTCCCTTTAGTCACTGTCATCTTCAGCATTTTTATGAAAATGATTCTAAATCATTGCAAAACAATGTAATTATATCCAATTGACTTGTGACCAAATTGCAGAATTCATGACATCTTGCATGATTTATTAAAGAACTTTAATATCTGTACTGTACACTCAGTGGTGAAATGTAGCTTAATGTTGCATTATGGAAAGTGATGTTCTCTAATCAGAACATGTAAATTATGCTTTAGGTCTCTGAATCTGTAAATCCTGGTGTAGGTTCACAAGCCCAGTAAAATCATGTGGAAGGTGTATCTTAGCCAGAGTTCCCTGAAGTGTCCATGTGGTTGACAACATACCAACTTTCAGTTGTTTGAAGACTTCTATGAATGAGCAAAGTGCACCATTCGAGTTGGACTGTGCTGCCTAACTGACCCATTCAGCTGTGCAACCCTCTGTATAATGCAGAATACAGAGCTGTTTTCTTGCATTCACCCACTGTTGTGCTGCAGGAACTAATTTTTCGTCTGTCTGAGGTGATCTTGTGGATGAAACTGGTTTGCATGGCTCTATCGGCAAGTAAACAAATCCAGTATGTGTTATCCATGGTTTGCATTTTTTAATTTTTAAGTTCTTCTTGTTAGATTAGCTGCATGGCTATGAGGACGGATCAGGGCTTATTGCATTAATCACACTCTCACACCAAAAATTCAATTTTGCCTCATCAAGATCAAGTCAACCAACAATCAAGTGCATTGAGACAGCTGGAGTGCAGAGCACCAAGCAGGCTCAAGCAATCACAAACATATTCCTGCCTTCTGAAGGTCCCAGGCCAGAGCAAATGCTCCCAGACTTCCCAGAGGAAAGAGACAGCAGAGTTTTGACCTTATATGGATTTGATAAACAAGGCGAGAACAGATGCTGAGGCTGGAACATCAGAAATGGGGGAGGATACACTGAAAAGAGCTTGCGGTATGGTGGAGTGTCTCAATTGGAGTGTTTTTTGAAGAGGATGGGAGGGGCAATATGAAGGGGTCTAGATTTTTCTGGAGGCAAGTAGGGTTCAGTAGAAGGTCAAGAATTTTCCCACGAAACCCAACACCCGGCAATGACTTTCCCACCACCCTTGAGATGGGACATGTTCCGAGGCGTCCCAGCCCTTTCTGGTGTTTTAAGTGCAGGCACTCTCAGTTCTCCTTTATCTTGATGAACAAACTCTGTCATTGTTGACATCAAGCCTAAGTTCACTGTTGATGTTCGGACTTTGGTCAGGTTTGTATGAAATGACATGTCCTTTCTGAAGCAAGTTATTTCACTTGAAAAAGCTATCCAGGATGTCCAGTTCTGCTCCTGAAGCCACTATCCTGCAGAGTTGAGCTCCAGTCATAATTAAAAACACATGAACCAGTTAATCAAGGTCTTCAGGATTACTAGAAACTTAAAGGCAAGTGTGTTAGAGCTAAACTCTGCCAGATATTGGCCCTCCAGGAGCAGGATTAGACACCCTCGCATTAATGTCAAATCACTAATAAAATCTGACTGATATCATAACTGGTCCATCATTACTGGTATCATAACTGGTCCAGCAAATGCATGTGTCACTTGTTGCTGCCTTGTCAAACCCTGTCCCCAGTGACGTCCTATATCCTTGGTGTCCTCTTCCAAGTCCACACTTTAATGATGTAATGCCACATAGACTATCAGGATTCAAGTCGGCTGTGAAGATAGCATCATTGAATGCTCCTGAAACCTAAAATGACAAATGGGACACCCTCCGGCCTCATGGACTTCACATACACAGGACAGGGTACAGGCCTTCAAATATGGCAATTTATTTCCACTTATTTGCTTATTGAGTAGCCCGTGTTCTCATGATATTGTATCTGGTCACATGGTTCAAAGTTTGGTGGGTGCCTGTTTAGGGTTATTTGCTTTTCTCACCGTTGTGCAGAAACTGACCAAACACAACCTCCAAATCATCTTACAGTCTGAATCCAGCAACTGTGGCATCTGTCACCCAACATCTAAACAAATCCATTTTCGTTTAGAAAGATGAAGTAAAACCAGGGGACATTGCTTGCTCCCTCTGGAAGTGAATAGAAGATTCTTCCAAGGCGGCACCTCTTTGTTTTTACCACAAACTACTCACGTTTTACCTGGATTTCACAAATGAAATCTCTGACATTTTAAAATTTTCCCCTGTCCATGCTTTCCTCTTCAGACCCCATTTAACCTTCTCTGGCGCTTTCCCTGGTGGCAGGATGCTTTCCGCCATACACTTTGTCTTGAGCTATTCCACCATGAATGCCCGTGATATAAATTTGTCAGCCTGGCCAAAGGCCATGTGGTGATGTGTGGCTGTCTGGTCCTCTGTGGTCACTTTAGTCAGGACATAGAGTCAGCGGCGAGAGTATTTATATTCTGAAAACAATCTGCAGTGTTTGTCAAAGCAGCCACACAAGGGCCACTCTGGTTGCGTCGAATGAAAGTCTTGACATTTTTGTGGCTTTGTGTTTCTACATTTGAATTTATTTCTGTTTCTGTGTTGTTGCAAAATGAAGTGGCCTGATCACATGAGCAAGAATAGAAGGGTTTTATCCACTTCTCTTTCTTCTATTTCCTTAATTTTTTCTTTCTCTCACTTAAGTCTCTCCTTTTTCTCCTTCCCACTCTCTCCTCTTTTTGAAGAACTAAGAAAGGTTGTGGTTGTTTTTGCTATTGAGAAAAAGTGCATGCGTGAATGAGAGTGCAATGCAGTTTTCGAAAAAGAGGGTCAGCCAAAAATAACCAGGCTTGTGAGGATAAGCCGGTTTTTACTGAAAGCAGCTGAAATAATTTCAGGAGATGATGAAGTTGAATCATAGTGACATTGGAGATGACTATTTCAGTGTCTTACCTTGGTGTCAAACACTGGCCAAACCTAGAATGCAATTAATGCACATGATAAAAAAAAATGTAGAAGATGGCGCAGAAACTCTTGCGAGACCACATTTGTTGCTAGCAAGAGGAAGGATGACGATTTATTACTTGACGTCATTTTAAAAACATGAACTTGTTTATCTGTAGCAGCAATGAATTTAAATGTGCAACTTTTAAAGGGATCATTTGATGCGATTTCAAGTTTTCCTTTCTCTTTGGAGTGTTACAAGCTGTTCGTGAATAGATAAGATCCCTAAAGTTGTAAAGACTAAAGTCTCAAACCCAAAGAGATATTCTTTATAAAAGTTAAGACTCGTCCATGCCCTCCTAAAACGCCTCGTTTAAACACGCCCCCACATGTCTACGTCACTGTGTGGGAAGATTTACATAACACCTCCAAAATGTTCACGCAAAGAAAGGCGGAGGAATTTTTATTCTCGCTGTAGTCCCGCCGCCGCCATGTCGTGGAGACACTGTGTGTTTCATTGCAAAAGCGAAACTACTTTGTTTGGCCTTCCAAAAGAGGACACAACTAGAAATCAGCGGTTAAGTTGTATTTACAACACTGTTCCAGAACAGTTCAAACCAAATATTCAGATGTGTGCAGCGCATTTTACGGAGTCTCTGTGGCGGCCAAAAAACCACACTATGAAGTGGGCTGATGGCTCAGTGTGCATTGTCCTATATGCAAAGTTTCAAGGGGTCATATGATGCAATTTCAAGTTTTCCTTTCTCTTTGGAGTGTTACAAGCTGTTCGTGAATAGATAAGATCCCTAAAGTTGTAAAGACTAAAGTCTCAAACCCAAAGAGATATTCTTTATAAAAGTTAAGACTCGTCCATGCCCTCCTAAAACGCCTCGTTTAAACACGCCCCCACATGTCTACGTCACTGTGTGGGAAGATTTACATAACACCGCCAAAATGTTCACGCAAAGAAAGGCGGAGGAATTTTTATTCTCGCTGTAGTCCCGCCGCCGCCATGTCGTGGAGACGCTGTGTGTTTCATTGCAAAAGCGAAACTACTTTGTTTGGCCTTCCAAAAGAGGACACAACTAGAAATCAGCGGTTAAGTTGTATTTACAACACTGTTCCAGAACAGTTCAAACCAAATATTCAGATGTGTGCAGCGCATTTTACGGAGTTTCCTGAACCTGGGAGAGTAGCCTACAATGCCAGCTGTTCTGACTCACAGCTTGTAAGTACGTTTTCATATTTAAAGAATTTGCCACTGACTATTCAAACACGAGTTTTGAGCAGTGTAGAGTTAGCACTGCTTCTTTGTAATTTTTCCGATCACAAATGCAGACATGGTTTTAGGTTTACGCGGTGTGATGCAACACAACGCGTTAAAAGACCATAGAAGTCATTATAATCAGTAATTACATCCCAACTGGATGCTACAAATTCCTCGTTTATAATGGGTTTTTATTGTTTTTGTCTTGTCGCACTGGGATATGGCATCACAGTATGGTAAGGGGCGTAACATTTCCGTCACACGCTTGAGGTATTCGGCCAATCACAACGCACTGGTTCGCTGACCAATCAGAGCACACCTCGCTTTTCAGTACGATGAGCTTTGTAAAAATCAAAGCATTTCAGAAAGGCGGGGCATAGAGGAGAAACAATAATGTACAGTATGTGGACAATAATGTTTTTTTAACCTTAAACTGCATAAACACATTTCATTACACCAAATACACAAAATAATGTTCTTTTTTAGCAACGTCATATGACCCCTTTAATAAAATGGTTGATCTCAGTATTTGTTGGACAACTAGCTGACCACGTTACCTTGTAAATGCCTATTGGTTATTAGCATCTTTTGTATGACATGTACAGCTATAGAGTCAGAGGCTAGGCTACAGAGTCCAGGCTACAGAGTCCATCAGTGTTTATGTTCTAGGGTCGTCTATGACATTTTGGTTTGATGCAAATGCAAAAGTACACATTTTTATGTACAAACCAGTATTAACCTGTCCACTCACATGGGCGTTTGTGGTTTAGAGTTAGTTAGCAATGATGTTGTGTCCGTGACATGAATCTGGAACAAACAGGCAAGGCTGCTGTCCCAGGCTAAGTCACATATCCTGTGGTGACAACTTGTGGTCCTGCTTTCAGGTGGAACAGTCCAAAGTGCTGATAAAGGAGGGGGGCGTCCAGCTCACTTTGACCATCGTAGACACACCAGGCTTTGGAGATGCAGTGGACAACAGCAACTGGTGAGTTTAAGAGTTTTGGGGACATTTCAGATTCTTGGATAGGCAAATAACCTCCATTATAGTCAAAAGGTAAAATCATGTTGGGTGTTATATATGATGGTTTAAATCCACTTTTACAGACTGTGATGCAGTGACTTCTCAGTCTTTGCATATCACTTTGCCTTTCATTTCTCCTCATCCTCTTTCTTTCAGCTGGCAGCCCGTCATCAACTACATCGACAGTAAGTTTGAAGACTTCCTGAATGCTGAATCCCGCGTAAACAGGAGGCAGATGCCTGACAACAGGGTGCACTGCTGCTTGTACTTCATCGCCCCCTCTGGTCACGGGTAGGTACTGCACACTCTACAAACGAATCCTGGCATGAGTCAACCAGCTTAAAATAGAAGCACCACACACACACATGTCCTGATTTACACATTTTGCACTTTGTTCAGGAGTGGGATGATGTTTGGAATTTTCTACATGAATACGGTACGATTGTACTATGAAGGCATCAGTGCATTGATTTAAATGCATTAGTGGGTGAAATGGAGAGACAGAGGACATATGAGCATAGATGGAGATGCACACTACCCACGCCCAGATCCAAATGCCTTACATAATGCCTACTAAACTGGGCTTGACGTATGATGGGCGTTGATTGGTTTATTTTTGAAAATGATTCGCTTATTATTTGGCTCAATTTTGCTCAAGATTATGATTTTTTTTCTTTGTCAGAAATGAGATTTGTGATAAAATATTAAGTGTTTTTATATTTTACTTTATTTGTTTTGGGGAAAATTTCTTGCAGGATCTTTTCAATGACGTTTTCTGTTGTTTTGTGATTTAATGACTTTAATATGAGGGAAAATCCACTATAAAATCTCTGTAGTGCTTTATACTTCATAAGTATGTAGTTTATCATCTATACTCTCTGAATAGAAAAACAAAGGACCGTTTACTTTTATGTTTGCATTCAGTGTAGTGTGACCCCCATACCCCTGTGTCTACAAACAGCTATTTTCTTGTGTGCCCTTTTTGAGACGCCATCACGAAGCAACATTCATATCTCTGTGACCTTTGTGTTGCATCTTCAGTCTTGACATTCCTGAAATGTATAAACGGCCCCTCAGCTGGCCCCCAAAGTCACAAAAACACACACAGAAACCCTGCTTAATGTAAGAATTATAGGGGGAATTATAGGCACACACCTATATTTTATTTATTTACTTGCTTAATTATTTATCTATTTATTTAGTTACATATTTGTGACCCTGGACCCCAAAAGCAGTCATAAGTGTCAGTTTTTTGGAATGATTTTTGGCATAAAAGAAAAATCAATCATTTTGACCCATACAATGTATTTTTGGCTATTGCTACAAATATACCCCAGCGACTTAAGACTGGTTTTGTGGTCCAGGGTCACATTTACTAATTAATTTATTTTTAATTAATACTTTTTTTTTTTTACTTATGTTTAATTACTTTACTTATTTTTACTTTATATATTTATTTTTAATAATTGAATTTATTTTAGTATTTTTTTTACTTTCAGTACTGCACTGTATGTACTGTGTCTTGTTATACAATTTAGTTTATTTAATTTAGTAATCTAAATATGTTAGCAACACAAGCTCACAAGACAAGTGTAAACTGTTAGACACAATTCACTTGTATTCTGAATCTTTTTTCAGACTGAAGCCTCTTGATATTGAGTTCATGAAGCGTCTTCATGACAAAGTCAATGTCATCCCCCTCATCGCCAAGGCTGATACTCTCACGCCAGAGGAGTGCCAACTGTTCAAAAAACAGGTGTGTGTGTGTTAACGTGGGATTTTACATTCTTCAGGTGATGATTTGCATTTTACAATTTTTCTCAAGCACTACACATTCTACTGTTCTCTCATCATTAGATTATGAAGGAGATCCAGGAGCACAAAATCAAGATCTATGAGTTTCCTGACACAGAGGATGATGAGGACAGCAAACTGATCCGAAAGATAAAGGTAAAGAGTCAGTCCATTTGCTTAATACGAAGCACTAAAAGAAACCGTACATAGTCAGATGTACAGCAGATAATTACAGACGACATTAGTTTATTCATTATGAACTAAAAATGAACACCAGTATATTTATAAACTAACATTAACAAAGATTCAGGATTTCCCTGACTGTGAGACCCTTAAATTTAGTTGATGTTAGTTTATAAATATGCTAAAAGATGTATATATAATTTGTGCATTTACATTTTATATATATATACTTACTTTTTTTTATATATGTAATAATATCTACAGTATAATATTTATTATAAAAATGTATAATTTTTAAATGGACATTTTCTAGCCCTGGAAAAGTAATTGCAATGTCTTGAATGAATATAAATTTCTAATTATCCTCTGAAATATTTAATCTGTTAGAAATAGATTTTTGCAAGGACATTTTTCTTTACGATTATAAATGTATTTATATAAAATCTTGGTTAACTGGAAGTTGTCCATAGTCTAACTATGGAAAAGTCATAGTAATTAATGATTGACCGTGAGAATCCTGAAGATCCTGTAAAAAATAGTTTGGATCAGCTGTTAACACATAGTCTTATTATGAAACTTTACATAAATCTTACATTTTGAATCTTGACAGCAGAAAAACAATAGGAAATGTTTTTGTCTTTAAAGTCTGAAATTATCCCAACAGCATCCACAATGTTGTTTGTTTCTCTAGGTTAGCTTGAGGTTATTATTGACGACATGCAAACTGCCACAGAACCAGTTTAGTTGACAGACCCGTCTGTGGCGCTGAAGTTCAATGAGAATCTACATCAGACCCCCCGTGTCTGTTCACTTTCACTGTGTGCGGTCGATACAGGCTCACTTTAATTAACTGTGGTTTGTACCAACAGGAGAAGATGCCTCTGGCAGTGGTTGGTAGCAATGTGGTGATCGAAGTAAATGGCAGGAAGGTTAGAGGGCGTCAGTACCCCTGGGGTGTGGCAGAAGGTACGTGCTGCATCAGCATGACCCATATGAGTTCGTTATGAGGACTGTACCATTTCTAAAGAAAACAGGGGTGTTCCAGTGCATGTGAAACAAGTGCATGGGCTTGCTGGACGATTTGTCTCTCAGGTCGAATGTCCAACCTGAGGGATTCTGGAAAAGGGAGGGTGACGAGGTGTAAGGTTTTCCAGAAAGAAAGATAGGCCCCAAATGACTTATTGTGGTTTTACTTTCCCCACATTTCTTTCTTTACAAAGCTCTCCTCCCTGAAAACTTTTTCATTTGGATTTGTTGTTGTGTGGTGAGCGAGTGTGTCTTTTTTTTTTTTTTTCTCTCTGTTGTTTACGTATCATTCTTTCTTTTCTCTTTTTTTCTTTCTGTCTGCTCTTTTCCATGACTGACAGAGGGCATTATTGGTAAACAAATCCATTTTTCATTTATACGCTCTTCGTTAAGGCCCCCCCCTCCCCTCCCCTCCCTCTTTCACCTTTTTGCTGCTCAGAATCTTTGCTGATTGTCAGATTTGTGCTCTACAAATAGTCATGGAGAAACCTATAAGCTGCAGCCCTCATAGAAAATAGAGCAGCACTGCTCTCTAACATGTTTATACTAGGATCTTAATTATCCTTTATGTAGGGCTGGACGATATAGCTAAAAAATTATATTTCAATATTTGAGATATAACTCCTCATTTGAGAGTTTTGCTAGTATTTGATATGTATAAAGGGATCAGAAAGTGTGAGACTAATGAATGCTTTTGTTGTGATTAAAAAGTATATATTATTATTTAGTATATATTACACAAGTAAAATAAACTAAAAAAATATATATATATTTTTAAACTTCATTGTGTTATTATTGCATAATATATTTTAATTCGGGTTTTTGAAAACTATGTGTGTGTATATAATATACATGCATAATATATAATGTGTAGTGTGTGACCAACAGGAAATGCATTTCTGATTTAAGAAAAAATATAATTTACTAAGTATTAAAAAACTCTAATTACATAATACAAATAATATAATATGATATCATTTTGTATCACATACTGTATATATTTTTGTTTTGTTGTATATTGTTGCATAATAAGTTGTAATGTTTAAAAAATATATGATCATATGTATGTGTGTGTGTGTGTGTGTGTATAATTACAAATGACTTTATACAATAACATAATAATATATAATAAACGATTGAAAAGATTTTTATAAAAAGTATTTTTCCCCCCCAAAAAATAATATTTTTTTCCTAAATGACCACATGAAAAAAATATATATTCCATGATGAGTATATTTACTAATGTGGCATTATTAATAAGCAGATATTTTGTGACTCATAGATGAGGAGGGAACACAGAGCTTAATAAACTCTAAAGTCTAATAAACATAATTGGCCAAATTAAAGTTTACCTAAATATTTATGATGTTTCTTAATTTGATTTGCCAACAAAATCATTGCAAATGCATCATAAATATTTGATATATCGCCCAGCCCTACTCTTATGTTTAAACAAAACCTTGCATCCAGACATGCATGCCTCCCATTACTTATTTCCAACCCCCATTATGGATTTAAATACATTGATGGGTACAAAATGTACCCCTGAGGTCAAAACATTTCTTTTCATCCTTTACATACATATTTTTTTTATTATAGTACATTGACATCATCATTTATAATAGTTTCTGCCTCAGAACTCTGATACAGGGTTGACTGAGTGCTGATATTTCCATTCTAACCTCTGGTCAACACTGTCCTAACATATGATGTAATATAAGGGACGCCGTTTTGGGGCACCATCTATACCTGTCAGCATCAGGAGATTTCTGTCCCATCAAAGAGGAAATTACAAATCTCATGATCCCTTTAGACGTATGACTGCACCCCCTGCCCCTTCTCCTAGCTCCATTTGGCTGGTCTATCTGCTTGTCATCGCTATGCCATGTAACCCCTCCAACGACACACCATTTTTAGTTGTAGTAGCCCATGAATCACAGGTTGAGTGGGGGTTCCCACAGGAGTGACTTTAGTCCCGCCCCTCCAACTGCTCTCTCACAGGTAGGTGGTTGTAGCAGATGATTGACACATGGGGTGGTCAATCAGCATGAGTTCTCCTTGTAGGTAAGATGCTCGCTTGGTAAAGCATCGTAGGGCTCTATAACTGCTGTAACGGTGCAGAAGATGTTTCATCCTTTAACCATCTTTCAGAAAACAGTGTCTCTGGTCCTTTTCCAGAATACCATGTGATGACAACGATGTTTGATCATACATACCTGTGTATGATCACATAACAGTGATTATGTGAACTGCTAACCTGCTGTTTATTTTTGTGACTGTTTAACCCTTTGACATATTCAGTTTCGATGTCTAATTACTAAATTGTGTTTTTCTTTTAATTGACAACCATCTGACCTGTGTCTCTTGATTTTTCATTTGTCTGATATTGATTGATTAATTTTGTGCAACCTCATTGTCTGATCCTGTTTGCTTTTAAATGTAGAATGTCACTGTATTATGTTTGTTTTTAAAAATATTTTTTAAAAATTAGGGATGCACTGATTAAAATTATCTCTTGATATGATAGGCCCAATAATTATTTTCTTGTTATAGCTGATAATTGATAAATGGCTAGCGGTCGAATTCTATATATATATATATATATTTTTTTTTTTTAATAAATTAATAATAAATACAGAAAGCTTAAAATGTTTAAAATGCTACAAGTGGTTGTAGGCACCACAACATTATAATAAAAATTATTCATTATTTTCATGTTATGGCCGATAATTGATAAATTGGCTAGTGGTCAAATTCTATATTATTTAAAAAAAAAAAAAA